AGTTTCTTATTTCAGGAAATATATATAACCATTGCTGGCTCTAGTTTTTAAGGGTAATGTATTCTACTCGTAATTCTGGAATGGTGTGGATAAACACGATAAAATTAAGAATAAGCATTGTTCATAGTTGCTAAACATAGTAGCATGTTGCCCCTTTTTTTTTTGTTTGTTTGTTTGTTTGACCTGTTGGACCATGTAAATCTGACTGCTCTGGTTCAGTGTATGAGTTCACCATTTGGAATGAGAGAGTGACCTACAGGGGAAGGAGGTCCCAGTTCAGTCAATGGCATGTGCTGAGTTAGTGAATCTCAGTGGGACTGTATTGGCGTGACAGTCATGCTTATTAGCCCAGAGGGTCAGGATGGAAATGGATGAAAATTCTGCTCCTGATCGTTGGACAGTTCATTTCTACAGTTGCCCAATGAGGAGAGAATTAACCTCGGTTGTGATGTTTTCCATAGTCAACGATCCCACTACCCAGAATATTGCAACAAGAATGGCTAGCAGTTAATGTACAGAGCACTTTCAGTAGCTGTGAAACAAGTACCTGGCCCATGAGTTGGCATATTCAAGAAAAACTTTAGGAGGGAGTAGTTGGGGAAGAGAAATGTTTTTGAAATATTTCTTGGATACCAGTCCGGTGGTATGGTAATTGCTGTGTGTAACTCTGCTGCTTTCTTCTAGGCTCCCTGGTTCTGGGACACACGACATTGCTGGTATAACTACCCGTATCAGGTGAGCATTGAACAATGGCGATTTGATCTATTTTGGAAGTAAGTAAATACTATGTTATTGTGCAAAGGAGGAAGACCCACTACCATCCCCAAAGGCATTGCCTGGGTCAAGGTCTGACTCAACGCAAGCTGATGGCCTAAAATAAAAACAGAAAATGTTGGCAATGTTAGGCTGGTCTAGCAGCATCTTTGGAGGGGAAAAAGTTAATGTTTGAGGCTGATGACATTTTTTTAACCATGACTCACGGATGAAAGTCTGTATAAATCGGTTGGAACTTTTTACACTTTTTTTTTCAAATGTGTGGTCCTGTCTCTCCATGCAACTCCTAATGTTGCCTATGACATTTTTGTTTCTAGATAATTTGCAATGTAATAATGAAAAGACACATTTGTGGCGTGTGGAAGCCTGAACAAGATTAATTCAGTTATATCATTTCAAGTGCTTGTCAGCTGATGATATTTGCACTATTCATACATAGAATATGTACCTTTTACAACAGCTGTGAGTATATTTTGACAATTAACTAGATTTTGTTCTTTCCTGCAGCAACTGGTGTTTGACATGTATTATTATTACATAATGGAGTTGTCGTTCTACTGGTCATTGATGTTTTCACAGTTTACCGACATTAAAAGAAAGGTAAGCAGCTGCCATCCTATTGAGTTTGAGCCATCAGGGTAGTTTCATTCGAAAGTAGCCAGTAATTGCAGTTAATTGTAAATACTGTCCCCATTACATACTAGTCTAATTTGAAAAAATGTTTAAGCTACTAATTAAGAGAACCACGGTCCAACAACTGATCGTGTTCTGTTAATTAACTTGTTTAAACAAAACTGAGGTGTTATATTCCTTTACAAAAGTTATTCTGATAACCCTATTTAGATTTGGTGCAAAGCAAATTGAGACTCTCAGGCCTGAAGTAAGGGTGTCTTTTGAACATTCTCTAATGTAAAATCTACTTTTAAACTGAGCACGGGAGTTTGCTTTTTTTTTTAAATACTGTTCTTTCTTTGATTAAGCTGCTGCAGACTTGATGTGCTGAGTGGCTTCTAAGTGCTGTATTTTTTGATTGTTGGGAATAGCTCTGTGGTGCGGTTCGAGCAAGTTGCATGTGACCAAGTTGGGGGATCTTTTATCTTGCTGTTAACTGTGTTGTAGCTAGCTATTTAAGTACTGTTTAATTTTTTTGTTCTTTAGCACCGAGGCCCCTTATCAAGAATTGTATTTGAATATGATGCAGTCATAAAGGTCTACAGCACATAGCATACAGTCTATGTGCAGCGTAGGCTCTTCAGCCCATTAAGTCTGTTTTTGCTGGACACAATCATCTAACTATTCTAATTCTATGCACATCAATTTTACACAGTTCATTGATTGTTCCCAAACCCCACCACCTCAGTCTCCTCTGCTTGAAGACGTCTCCAGTATGTCCACTCTCTCTTCATAACTGAAATTCTCCAGTCCAGGAATCATCCTGGTAAATTT